CTTAATTTCTCATTATAAACTAACAATTATAGGACACCATACACCAAACCCCTAATTGTGAACCTGTCTATCCTCATCTCTACCTTAATACCATATTCTAAAACAACAAATATAAGCAACCATCTTTTTAATACCTCCACCCCCTAATCCTAAACCAGACTACCCTCATCTCTGAAGGGTACAAATTACTTTTTTTTATTTGCATAAGTCTTTTGCTTTATGGGCCTAAATTGCACGGCAGTTAAAAATTTTGTATAGCACTTTCTAACGTATGAAGTACGGTATGTAAAAGTTCTGAAGAGTATCATTAAACTAAATGATTCTTGAATTGTAATTTAAATACCAGTGCAAAATATAAAAACAAACAAAAGTTGGCCATAATGATACTCCTGATATATTCCATGTTAATTTTGAAGTCATGAAATATCTCATATTTGTCATATTTATTCTCGTGACATAGAGTCTAAATTTTCAAGGTCACGCGCGTAAGAATCTAGATTGAGAAAAGTCCAAACTAACCGATAATATTTAAACCTCGAGTATTATAGAGTTTTAGTGGAATTGCATGAGTCATATACGTCTGAATGAAAATTGGAATGTGTCCTTTCCTTATACACATAAAAAATTTAGAAAATCTCTCTACAATCTCTTTAACAAAACGTTTGGTAAAACTAAATGAAATGAGCTATTCAAGGTATTCATGCTTCTGATAAACTGTTTTTGTGCAATTCCACTGAAGTAAAACTGTGCGTTTGATAAGGTCAATTTCACAAAGACTGTAGATATTATTATCAGATTCGGCAATAGTGACGTAATAAAAAGTCTAATTTTAGTGGAATCGGAAAATTGGAATGGTACAAATCGATGCTATCGGTGTCCCTATTTCTAGAAAACCAGTTTATATTTCTTACAAGTTTCCAATCAAAATTTGAATGAAGAAAATGGCTTACCTTGTGAATAAGTGTCCAATATTTGTCACTCCTTCCAAAAGTGTCATCGTTGAATCCATTATTTTATAGAAAAATCACAAAATAATCTAAAATCATCCAGAATAATACAGATAGTATCAAATAAACCCAAATCCACAGATATTAGTCAAAGATTTAGCACTGAATATTGAGAAATAATTCAAAACCATCCAGAATCCAATACAGAATATATCATAAGTCTTAAGTCACAACTGATAAGACGGAAATCCCGCTCGGAAATGCGCACCCTTGGATATGCAAAAGATGATTTTACGTTAAACTCCTCCCACTTTTTGACTGACAATTTGAATTTCAGCCAATCAGCAGCCAAAATTCTGCATCCACGTGCTCTACGTGTCAACTCTTTCCGCCAAAAAATTGTTTTGGGTTTCTGATGGTTTTAATCTGTCACCTTCTCGTCAATTTGGTGAAAGTTGATAAATTATTAAAGGTAAAGATCCACCAATATTTCAGAGTGGCTGGTTGAAAGAATTTTGAATAGAGGTACTGGACTTAAAAATCCTTTGTAAAGTCTAAAACCTGTTCAAAACTCTTTGGATCAACGAATAAAGTATATTTCGTTAAGTTACCGAGAGAAAAAATTGCCAAATTCACATGTTTGTGAGGAAAATTACACGGAAGGGGACCTTTAATTCTTGACAGAACAAATAACATGATGACTAGATTCGCGCCAAATATTACCCCGAAATTTAAAGGGATATAGCGTTACTGTTAGAATAAAATTCACCATTGTTCAAGTTTTAGGCCTAAATCAGGCTACCCTCAAAGAAGATAATTAGAAAATTTACTGAAAAGCTTTGACTTTGTGACTACATAAATGTGGCAATAAATTCTGGGACGAAAAAGTGCAAAAGATACAAATATGATTGCAATAGAAGAGATTAAACCACAGGAAATTTAAAGATAGTGGTTCAAATATGGCCATATTCGGTATACGGTTGGTGAAACCAGATCCTCATTGTTAGATCATTTAGGCCTGCCTACATACAAAGTCGTACGAAAATCGAAAATTCCGAAAATCGTTTGAAAACTGAAAGAGCTATACCAATTTCAACATAGGCGTACGGGCTCAAGACCTATTTGGGGGTTGGAAGGGAGGGGGGAGGGGGTCGTGGGGGTTGTTTGCACGAAATTTTGCTACGATCGAGACGAGTGGTATAAATAGGCTAAGGGGCAGAATGACTCAAATATTTTAGAACACATTTATAATATTTATGTTTATTAGTGTAAATTATGTTAGTGAACTAAATGTTGGATAATGGTACATCGAGATCAAAGGGTGACGTCAAATTTTAAGTTATAATAACACTGCAAAATCAATTGATGTGAGAGCAATATTAGAAGTTCTATCAGTTCCCATTATCAGGATTCCTCACCCATTCCCCCGCCCCTACTCCACGGCTTTTGTAATTGTGTAGCTTGCCATTCAACAAGAGGCATCTTACTACAGGCTCAGTGTTAGGCCGTTAGGTTTTCATACAGCCATATTCAGTTGGCTTAACTAAATGCAAAGGGAAGTCTCTGTGGTAGTTTAGACTGGTTGCAACGTTAGCGAAATTGGAACAATGTGGAAAATAATGATTTGGGTATTACTGTATTATCTTTTCAAAGCAAAAAACCGACATTTTAGGCCCAGACTTCAATTGAGGGCTCTGTGTCCCTTTTCCAAATCTCGGTTACGCCCATTTAATAAAATGACCCTACACGATATACAAAATTGTTTCGAATTATTCATTCGTCGCCATTCCCAAATTTGTGCACGGCCTTTGACAGAATTGAGTCTCGTTTTATGTCTTTCTGACCCAATTCGGACAGTTCGGAATTTTACACCCATCAGATCTCGATGAGATGTTATTCATTATTGCCTGTCGAGCCAACTAAGGTGTCTATCTAGTCCATGCTGCACCACAATGGTTTACAAATTAATACAAAGACAAAGGTTGTCTTGATATCTCTCTCCCCTCTAGATTAATTGAATACCCTTATTTTCCGATGTACAAAACATTAAATTTGGCAAAACAGACACATTTGAAGCGTCATAGGAAGAACGTGGGGAATGCTCAAGAGCTTGGTGAAGGGGTTGTATTAGGTGATACACTTTTCCAAACATTATCCTCAAACGACACTTTGGGGTAAGATCACATTAAATAACTGAACACAATATTATGGTATAGGCCTACTACCCATGTGTTTTATTTAATAGCGCTTTAACAATTAACCTTGTCGCCATTAATGACCATGTAAATTGTTGAAACGTTGAATACAAATATTATTTCTTAAAATACAACAGTTTTATGCTATTTTCACCAATGAAAATGACAACATACGCACTAATGAGAAAATCCAAAAGGCAATGAAAAAGACATGACACGAAACGTCATTTGGTTACTTTCGCATAGGCTATCGAGATGAAATGAAGAAATTAATTCTCTGTAAGCTCAGTTTCTTTCACGGGGAGAACGACTAAACGATTTCTACGACAATCAGACGATTTACGTAACCACAGAAGGATTTAGAGTCGAATTTATCCCGGGTTAATCTGATTCGATTTGGTCTAAAAACCATTTATCCTGTACCGGTATCAAATCAAATTTGATTATGGTAATTTAAATTAGTGCATGTCTTCAATGGGCCTCCGTACAAAAAGTAAGGGAGAAATTAAATGAATGGAGTTTTACGTCCTACTCTTCTGCACCTTGTGGGCTAATGAAGACGGGCAAGGCCATGCAGGGTGCCATGAGGGAAGTTTTGCCAGGACAGCGGCATTAGCCTGCTCTTTTTCGATTTCCAACTGTCGAGGGATCTTTAACGTGCACAGCCTGTAGCACACGGGGCCTCGGTTTTTTTTGTCCCATCCGAACGACTAGACGCTTTTTCCATGTCAGCCCCTCTTACCTGCATCACTGACAGGGGGAAACCGGTTGAAAAATCCGAAGGTATTATCTCGACCTATGCAGGGATTGAACCCTGGACCTTCAGGTTAGCGAGCAAGCGTCTTAGAACTCACTGAGCCACTGCGGCTCCCAAAAAGTAAGGGAGACAGCAATTTGGTGATTTGATATTTCGAATAATGACAAGTGTGAGATAGTATGGTACATGAATTTCAAAAAGTTATCAAGAGCTAAACCTTTTAATTTGCTGTTTAACTTTGGTAATTTTCAGCTTCCATAAAAAAAAAATTATCTTTTAAATGGGCCACAGTACAAAGACTAAGAGGGTTAGACATATAGGTGTTTGCGGAAAAATTAAGTTATTTAAACAATATTTAAGTAAGAAATAATTCAGATTTCATATCGGGTCGATTTGCCGCGAATGTGTATGCCGAGACGATTCGACCCGATTCTACCCTAATCTGTATGCTAGTTGAATGTACATGCTAAGTTCAGCCCGGTTCCTTTTCGGGTATAACTTGAATTTTATTGAATTTCCCACATTACCGTTTTTTTCTGTAATGTTATATCAGATTCAAGCAAAAAATATCCATTAGTTTGGGCGATTTATCGTTTAACTTACGAAATGGTTTGCTTTGAATGTCCGATGTGTCAGCTAGAGTTCACGGTACTGATGACGTTTTCCTCACGGAAGTCCAATTTTATTTATCTGAAGTGGAAAAATTTTCCAGACAAATCCATCTTAAGAGATTATTAACTTTTATACAGCCAGGTAAATATTTTTTGTATGTTCAGAACTGTCAGTATAGCAGATTGAGAATCAGCATGTATCTGACCATGAGTAGATTCTAAAGTATTCAATATTAGATCAAGATGTTAGTATTGTTTATTCAACAATGCTATAGGCACTATTAATGTAAAATGATGTTTTCATAACACAAAAATCATGAATGTCATGATATACAACAAAAATAATATAGATAAAAACTAAGGTCTAATGTGCTAGTTTTGATCTGAACCTGCACTCTATATGTAAAAAGTTTTATAAGCTTAATCTTTGATTTCTTATCTTATTATTAATTTTGTTCTACATTTCAGTTTAACGTTACTATTCAGATCAATGCGTCAACTTGCCAATTCCCAGCTCATCCCTTCCTTGTTTGTCTTCATCCATTGTGTCCAGTTTGTAACATCTAGTATTTTATGGCACACCTCAAAGTCTGTGATAGGTGCTGAAAATTACACTTACTTCCAAATTTCAAAACCAGGAAGTCACAGGATTGATGTTGTGTCCCTGACAGGAGATGCAGATTTGTATGTATCTGACAAAACAACATATCCAGACTTTGAAAATTATGACTTAAAATCCACAACATGTGGTACGGACAGTGTTGATGTGCCCAGTTCTTTTCAACGACCTTTGTACATTGGGATTTATGGTCACCCAAATTATGAAAACTCTACTTTTCAACTGAATATTTACCATATGATTTTTGAAGAAGAAAATAGTTATGAATCTTATGTGTCAAAATATGAACCATTTGGGAGTAGTGAGTCAGATGGATCTGCAGGTAGTTCTGATAGACAATATAATACCCGAAATAAAAATACCTACAGTAATAATTATAATAATGATAATGATGAAAATGAGTCTCCCTGGATGACCATATTAATTGGCATTTTGAAAATTATTCTGGATGTTTTATTTTGATTCCCCTTTACAACTCAAGAATTGTCCCTTTTTTGACTGTTACTTAAGTGTGATTTCCTGCAAATTTATGATTGTATCATTTTTTCGTTGTGTGAGTCCACTAAATTTGTTACAATGGGTGCATGGCATAGTGAAACTTTTCATGATATAATATGGCTTTACTGCTGAACTTACTCAATTTACAGCTACTGATTTCTTCCAAGGGATCAAGTTCTCAAACAAGGGCGATGCCTTTACTTATTACCATTCGGTATCTGACAAGTCTTTGAGGTATTGACTATTGCCTAACTCACATGTAAATAGATATAACATTGTTAATTTATTAATGCAAGTTCTGTATTATTATCTACCAAGCCTTCAAGCAAGGTAAATGTCATTTTTTGCATGATTGTTTGGCAGTAATAATACTGAGCTGAACTGCTAGTGACACGTATTTTTTAAAAATTTTGATGTGGAATGCTAGTTGTCTAATTATTTTTGTTAACTGTGTGTGGAGCAATACAATTTATTCTGTATTGTTGTTTACCTGTATTTATAATGATTTAGTCGTGTAATTAAATAATCAGCTGAAAGAGCTCAATTTGAACTCGCTCAACTGCTTTTGCTTTTTGAAATTAAATTTAAATTCAAAATACTATTGGTAGTCTTAGAATGAAATTGTGTTAGTAGAGATATAAAATTTCCTTACATTGGATAATAATCACCCTTCGCTTTGAAGAATTTCCCAATATTTTGCCTTTATGTAAAAATAATACATCTAAAACAGTTGCCTATATGTGAAAAGTTATAACTATGTTGAAGTTGATATTCTAATTCACATAAAGAAATCTGGTCAAATATCATATTAGAAAAACGTATAATTTGGGCTAATTTAAGTATTACAATTTTATTATGTACTAAATCTTGTGTAAAAGTGAAATTGGATGATAAATAATTGGTAGCAAAAATGGTAACTTTACATGAAAACATTTAAGTTTTCTATTGCAGTTTTTTTTATAACATGGTGCTACTTATTTGTTAGTTTGAATAAAAATAATAATACTGAACACGACTTTACTTTTTATTAACAGTTTCTATACAAATTGAACATGAATGATACAGTATGAATGAACAATGAACAAAAAGGTAGTGAACAGAGCTATACAAATACTATGTTAATCACAAGACAAGTCTTTGCATAATGGAAAACCTATATGAATATATTTCATTTTTATTTGGGTGATTTTACTCCGTATTGCTTGAACAAATATCAGCCTTTATCATCTCAGGTTGTTTTTGGTAACATACTTTAATAGCTATGCCATTTAAATAGAAGCCATTTTGCATTAAAGTTCTGTTCAAAATATTCCGATTGGAAAATTTGAATATCAATAATTGATATCAAATTCAAATACATTTATCAATTTCGATTTTGGTAACACTTATCCATGCCAACTTTGGTAACAAATATCCACAGAAACTCATCTTATCTTGAAGATTTTAATACCATATTCTTCTAGAAAAAAATGGATCCTCAAATCTTCACGGCCTATTTTGATTTGAATTGTTCTTTTGGTCATCAGTCACTGTCTGATTAACACTTACATTTCATGACAAATACAACCAAATAACTCACAAGCTATAGTAAAGTGTCTTGTAGCACTTCAAAACTAAGAACTTATTCACTGTCTTGAGAGTTCATACATCCTTACTTGCTTTACATAGGATTTTATATCCAAACAATGAGTTTTAACATTTTACTCAAGATTTATAAAAAAATAAAATGGATTTTTGAGACACTAATAGCACAATCACTATCAATTCCAGCACTTTTCAACATGATTTTTGTGATCCTTGCCATAAAATATTGACTTGTCACATATATTCTGTCATTTTGAGCTCAATTTTGATTACAACTGATCTGGAAGTACTCAAGTCTTCCTAAAACCTTTCAAAATGGGGTAAATATTATCAAAAGCTTCATAAATTTCTGTTCTGACCTTTGCTCCTGAAAATGAATTGCATAATTTGACTTAAAATAAAAACTATAAGCAATTGAAAAAAACCCAGAAAATTTTAGAATTATAAACGAATTTTCCAACTCTATTTTTTCCTATTTGGCAACAACACACTATTCCATGCAGTGAATAATGGAGGAAATATTGCAAGAAAAGAAGGTTGAGCCTTATCTTTGGTCAATTTCACTTCGTTATTTTATCCCATCCTAGACTTTTGAATATTGTAATTTGATTCAAAGTATTACCTGTTAATACAACTTTACCAGAAACAAATATTAATAAGACTATTTTAGGTTTCACCATTCTATATATTAAACCAGGGAATAACTCTGGTTCATAACTGAAAAATACAAAATCATGGTGTCAGAACTCAAATTTGCATCCATAAAGTACGAAAAAAATATGTTTACAGATATGGCTTACTACAGATGAGTATAATGACAACCAAAACATGAATCATCTATATTTTCAACAACAGTTAGGTTAAGAAATTAAATTTTTGCTATGATTGTAAGTAAATTGGACAAGTTGAAATCATTTCAAACCATAGTGTCAATTCAATCATGATAAATAAAATGGACATGTAGGCTTTTTTTCATTGAACATATTTTGTTCATATATTTCAAAAATCATCTCCTGCATTGTAAAAGCATTGTTAATGCATTGCAGGTAGATAAATTCAAAAAGGAAATTTGTCATGACAAACTGCACATACCTTGAAAACTGACTATGTGTTAAAACTAAACCTTCTAATCTAATGGGAAATTTAACATCACAACTTCCCACCATATTCTGAATCTTAAAATCTAAAAATTTGGCCTGAAAGGTTAACAAACTTATTAAACTTTAATTTCAAATGTAGGCAGTTCTTTACAATGGTTTAATGTCAAATTTGTCTTTATTTTTCCACAAAATGAGGACGTTTAGAATGCCTGGTTGTTATAACATTTCCCTGTGGGGTATGATGAGAGTCTTAAGATCAACAGTGTGTTTCTGTTGAATTGAAGGCAATCCATGGGCTAGGTTTAAATTCTAACAAATGCTATATTTTAATTGAGCACTAGCAGTCATGCAAATTTTCGACAATTATGTGTACAGCTCTTTTTCAGAGCAAGCTAAGAATGAAAATCTGAGTGATGGATGTAAATGTTAAAAAAACATAATTTTAACATTTGAACTTTTTTTGTTAGTATGTTATTATAAGAACAACAGAAGACTTAACTTACAGGAAAACCTAATTTCTGTACAATTCTGGCATATTTACGTGCTGCTAGCTTGGCTTGATCTTCACTGAAATGACAATGATTATAGAAATTCATTTAAGCTAAATAGTAGCAGGCATAATGAATAGAATATGGCTTGCAAGATCACAAAAATTTTAATAATTATTTTTTGATGACAAGTTGACATTTCCATTTTATTTCCTTGTCTTGCATTAAGGTCAAAAATCATAGTAATGGAGATCAAAAACAGTTTTTGTACTGTAAAATTTTCCATAAGGTTTACAAAATTTTAACCCCCCATATACAATCACAAATACATACCTTTTGGCACCAGTGCAGACCATTTTACCAGAACTAAATATAAGAGCTGTTGTTCTGGGATCTCGAATTCTCATAATAACCGCAGCAAAACGTTTAGGATTGTATTCTGCATTTCTAGCATGTAAAGCTATTTTCTTTAAATCTAATTTACAATTTAAATTGACAGTACATACTATATTTCTGAAAGACAAAAAAATGTATACAAAAGCATGAAAATCTTTCAAAAACTCAAGTACCCTTTTACTAATTAGTTTACTGAATTAGAGGCATTTTAACCATTCTGATTTAAATGTTTCGTCAAATGGGGTCACCTATAGAAAAACACCAAACAAAACATCAAGATATGCACAGATTTCATATACATACGGTCATATGAAGACATAGATAAAGTACTTACTGTAATTGTGGTTTAATACCAGAACCTTCTGATGCTGGTGTGGCTGGAGAGAAAGGTGTTAAGGGTCCACCAGGAGTTGGGGTCTGAGGATATATACTAGCATTAGACTGGGGAAGTATAGGATTAGGCGTACCGATGAATGTACTCAAAGATGGTGACATCAAAGGACTCTGAAAAAAAGCAGATCATCTTTTATTTAATTTAATTTATTTTCAGAGAGATGTCACACACATAAAGGCTTTACCTTCTGAAATCTAAGAAGTCATTGCGACATTGGGTGGTAATTGCTACATTATGTCTTCCATGAATATAGTCTCTCGGCTGATCCTCTTCCATTAAGCCCAGACCATCGTTTTCTAAATGACTGTATCATTATCAATTATATTATCGCCAACATAATACGAATAAGTTGAAAGTGTATCAACAAGCGACATAATGTATACTTTACCTGCTGCGGAGTCATACCGGTTCCAAAAGATGGAAATCCCCCATCCATTGTTTTGTTATATTTGCTTTAGCCTTACGTTATAATGAACTTATATCGTAAAGGCATGAAAGAATAATTTTGATTTATGGGCATGGGTCCATGAACTGGTTATGAATATAAATTGAATGAAATTATTGCTAAAATCATTTTAAATACAGAAACATTGATAATCTACGACATGCAAGCGAATTCCAATTTACAACAGTTTCACTTGTTTTGTTATTTTCGCCGTGTTTAACAGAAACGTAACCATAATGAATAAACGTAACCTAAAGAATAGAGGCTACAAGACCGATACTTAATTGTCGACTGATATTTGCATAAAACAAATTAGAAAGATTCACCAATGAAAAGGTTTGATTTTGAATGCTATGAGTTGCTTTTATTAATTTTATTCTTTTTTTCTTAAGAGGAATGCGCTTTCTTAAGCATGTTCAGAAGTTGACTAAATTTCAGGATTCTTATAACAAGTAAACGAAATATTGTGATCGACATATTATTTCTTCAATTCTCATTGTAAGCTCATGCGACAAGGCATTTTGAACATATAAGAATATGAAGATGAGATTTTGACAAGAAAATGAAATGACAAGACGTCACTTATCTTTCTAGGCCTATATTTAAAAATAGAATTACGGCTATTTCTTCCGTGATTTCGTGATTCTTTCAGTTTCATTGACAGAGGTGGCGCTTCTTGAAATTAAAATAAGGAACTTGGTAGCTTAGTGGAATCAGTGTCAGCCGTATTTTTTCTTGAGTTAATTTGGTTCACTGTGGGGTTGATAAGTAATCAGGTTAATTAATTATTAATGTTAGGTCCCCTTTCAATATACAGTTCAAATATTCAATTCGTGACAGTGACGGTAAAAGTCACACTCACAAGTCGACAGATGTGTATCTGAGTCAACGTTTACATTTTCTGGAAAATTCTCACGTCAAGTAATTTATAGCAATAATTCAATTAAATATTAAATCTTTTGGATTATTTGATGGTCATATTAATCTTTTGAAAGATATAGATAACTTGCTCAAATACTGCTGAATTTGTAATCAATGAAAATTTCAACTAGGTCCTGGTAATTTGATCAGAACAGCATGTTGAATGTTTTCTGGTGATCAAATTTATCAAATGTGTATCTTTGTTTGAATCAAATAGCAAATTTATTATGTAACTAGCCTTCCAATGTTGCCCCTAGATAGGCCTATTGCCCACTGACTTAAGGGACAAACTTGTCAGCCATTTGATCAAATGTTCTTTAGTCTCAGAAACATGATTTTTTTTTGCTAAACAAGTAAGAATATAGTGTTCACAGCTCTCAGTCAAAACTTTAGCTTCTAATTCATTGTGTGTCCAGAAGTATCTGTTGAGAATAAAAACAGAAAGTAAAATTCCTAGTTTGAAGTATTTTGGAAGGAATCGTGCAATTATCGCTATAATATGGCATTTCTAGTACTTCTGAAAATGGCAAACTATGAGCTTGAATTATTTTAGTGAGAATGGAAAACTATTTTTCTTTAGTTAAAGGAGAACGTACAAGATGTATGACGCACAGGGTGATGAAGAGACAGGAGGACAGTCCAATGATTTTGTTGATCTAAATGCATTTGATGATAAAAATGTTCGGCTGGGTAAGTAGAAATTATTTATAATGGAAGGATAAAGGCATCATATTTAAATTTGCTATTTAAGCCATTACAGGTTTATTTAAGCTATCTGTATGGAATCTTAAAATTAACTAGAAATATTCTTTGAAAATTTAGATTGTCATTACTTACCGCCTACCGGTATTAGTATTTTCTCAGGCAGATTTAACTGATAACACATTAATATCACTATCAGTAATGACCATATATATATATATATGGAAATATATTTAAGGTATAGTTCACTTAAGGCCTGGGCCATTAGTTTCCTTGTATTAGCCACTCTTGTCTAACAGAAACTCCGAAATATTGAATATGGTCATGACAAATCTTTTTGTTCTGCGCCATTATTATTATATGATTTTTCACAGACTATCAATGAAAATTATAAAGAATATGTCAAACTTTTTTATTTCTGTAGTGTACAAACCCTTTCTTTGGCAAATTATTATGTTTAATTTTAAATTATATATTTGTATATTGTTGTTATTGCAGGTTTTATACGTAAAGTCTATGCTATATTATGTATTCAGTTATGTGTAACTATGTGTATTATGTCTCTGTTTCTTTTTATGTAAGTAAGCTTATATTAATTTCAGTTTCACTTGAAAAACTCATTTTTAGAAATTATAGAAGTATAATAAATACTGTTCTCATAAGTAGGACCAGTACCAGTGGGCCTTGGAAGTCATTTCACATTTAAAGAAAATTATTAACAAATACTTGTAACTGTAACTGTACTTAAAAATTGTGTGTAATGGAATGAAATCTTGAATATGTATAATATCTGTTCAGACTTTTGCATGCTCACTGAGATTAGAACCCACAGCCACTATTTGCTCTATTCAAGCTACTATATGTAAAGATTCTTGGGCTCTTAAAACTTACAGCCTGAAATTCTGGTATCTGATGTTTATTTGAAGTTTTATTAATAAAGGTATGAAATGTTCCATATTATATTGTTTGGACTAAGGGTAGTTATTATGAATGACTTCTATATTACAGTGATCCCGTCAGAATTTATTCTCAACACAATCCCTGGATCTGGTACCTTGCCATGTAAGTTTTTACAAAATATTTAGTCAGTTGGAAATATTGTGTGCAGAACTAATTGAGAGATTTTCCAAAAAGCCTTTTGATAGAGGATGACAGAGCCCAATTTTTCACCAATATTCACAATGTCAAGCTATGACAAACTTTGTCTTATACTTTGATTATAATAGCCACCTTTCTTGTACAGAGGTTTGTAATTGCAGTGATCGGATTGGATTGTTTGCTAGTAAATACAGACCTTGACAGTACATCTGTTAATAATAAGCTAAAATGTATACAGTCTATCTGTCGATGGCTCTAATTGGTTGTATTTTCTGGCATACGATCCAATCAAATCATTGCGTTCTATGATACAAGAACAGTGGCCATTGTAGTCAAGGTATATGACAAAGTTCGAAACACCTTGACAGTTGTATAAGATGAATTTCACCTACCTGTATTACTTTTCATAATTACAATCTGATATGTGTTTGCCTTTTATTCAACAACACATAATAAATAAGAGTGATCTAAACTTCCAAATTTTTTAATTTATTGACAATTGACACCCCTAAATATATTATGAAACTCCACACATTTTTTTTAAGTTATTGATTTATTATGAAACATGTTGAAAGGTTTATCCCTATTATTAAAGAAAATCTTTTGTTCAATAAACTTTTATTATGTAGGGTATTAACTATAATAATATTGATAGTATTGGCTTGTTGCTCTGATGTCAGAAGGCAATATCCACTTAATATGATACTACTTGGAGCTTTTGTAAGTATAAGTCATGATTGGTTTATTGCCTATTCAAAATATTGTTAAGGGCTGCCTTATAAAATTTTAGCATGCAGTGTTAAAATTAGAAGAAAGGTGCTGCTAACTTAAACAAAAACTCTTCGGAAGTTTGTGAATTTAGAGTGGCAGAAATGTTCCTGTCATATTTGAAGATAAAGACGAATTTAATTTTTTATTAGAAACCTACTTGCTAGCCATATTCTAAAACTTGTGTATTCAGCCTGTTATTTTCACTGAGTTATTTTATTCTACAGTTTAGATACATTTCACTAATGTTTTATGTTGCAGACATGTTGTGAAGGTGTATTACTGGGAGCTGTTGCTAGGTAAGTTGTCTTGTTTCCTATTGCTATCATAGTCTTGCCTATTACCTACCATAATTTGTCTTGACTGCCTTCCTTGAAAATTTCCCCTTATTGCACACTGTCTTTGAAAGCCCAATCAAAAAAATGAGTATGATGTTAAATTTTGATTTCTAAGGAGAAATTTTTCTCAATATTTACCACAAATTTCACATACAACAAAATTGATTTATTCTTTATATTTACAGTCATTATGAAGCTGTAGAAGTTATAATTGCAGTAGGGGTTACAGCAGTAAGTAGTGTTTTTTTTGTATATGTATTCTTGGGAAGATATGAAACTATATTGTCCTACTAGCTGGCTGGCAAACTGTGACATGAAAGCCACCTACAATACAAGACAGTCTGCCATGAAAGTTCCTCTGGCACACTTCAACATAATGATAATGTGGCAGCAATAGTTTGCCTGAACTAGTTCTATGTTGTCTTGTGATCTCATGATTCTGGTAGTTCATACATCAGAGGCTGATCGTTCTAGACTACAAAGACAATGAAAACAAAATATTCATAATAAATGGATTCAAACTGATAATATAATGTATCAGTGGCCAACTGATAGAAGTTTAATCCCTAAAAGGCTCTACAGTTATGGACTATACTTAGGTCACGATATTAACTGTCACTTGACAAATCATTGCAAATTGCCAGAAGTAAAAGCTCTCACTCCAGAAGACACCATGAAATCTACCATTTAGTATAGAGACAGATTCAGCTTTACAGAAACTGCTGTGGATTACTGAATGCTGCAATACCAGAAAAATACACAGAAAATCTGAAATGCATTATAGTGGCAAGGAAGTATAGAGAACTGTGCTTGGCTGATGGTAGACCACTATGGTCAGTATTCAGTGGAGTATTAACACATGTGTCTTCTTATTGTAGATTGTAGTGCTTGGCTTAACAATATTTGCTTTTCAAACCAAATGGGATTTTACCATGTGGGGAGGAATTTTATTTGTGTTCCTGATAGTTTTGTTCTGTTTTGGAATCCTGGCATTAATCTTCCAGAATAAAGTAAGTCTTGATATTGTGAAAGAGTGCCAACTCAACCAAACTTGGTATGTTATATAATTGTTGTCTGATTTTACTAAACACTTTTATTAACCCTTTTGAAGCAAATTCAGGTTGATCAGGTAGATGCATATTGTATTTTTGAAGTTGCACACAAGCAATATTTTACCTTTGAGTGAAAAGTTCCCACATCTGTCTTGCCAATTTTATCAAGTTATTATAGTCTACTTGTTATTATTTCAGATTGTGAATATGGTCTATTCATGTCTTGGTGCTCTTCTCTTCTCATTTGTAAGTATTTGAAATGAAATGAATTCAGTTTTACATCCTTTATGTTAATGAAAACTGACAACGTCATGCAGTGTGCAAGGAGGGAAATTTTGGTCAGGCATTGGTCTACTTGTTTTTAATTTCCAACTGTCTAATTTGTCTTGTAGGCATGATAGAGACTACAGTTTTTATCTTCATCTTCTTGATGAGATCTCAGTCTTTATCTTTACATTGATGGAACTTTGTTCATGTTTGAATTAGATTATAATTGGATGGACTGTTTTTGAGGTTTTGATGCAAATTGGAATTGAAAATTCATTATAAAGCCAGTAAAGATTTAGATCGGTTGGTAGTGGGCGTATGTTACCTTGCCTGTCAAGCTATCTTTAAGTAGTTAGTCCAGAAATGTAGATTTTGTATTATCAGGAATGTTGGGCTATAGAATGATTTGACTTGGAGTCTGTTGTCCTAAAAGCTACTTATTCCAATGATACCAGTTTCTTTATTCCTCAGGCAAGCTCTCTAATATTTTCATTATCTCAATAAGGCCAACTTGAAATCAGATTTTATTTTCATATTAGCAATTTCTTACTGATAATAGATCTAATTTGGTGAGTTTTTTATTATTTTCAGTATTTGGTCTTTGACACACAGTTAATGTTAGGAGGAAAACACAAGTATTCGTTATCACCTGAAGAATATATCTTTGCAGCTCTTAATCTGTACCTAGACGTTGTGAACCTCTTTTTGTTTATCTTATCCATTGTGGGTAATGTAAGGCGCTAGATTAGAACTGGAATCATTTTGGGTTAGTTATTTGAGACTTATTTAAGGGATAGTGTCACCTAAGAAATCAACTTTATCAGGTATAAATAACATTATTTCAGCCTTCTGTAGTGCTTTTTAGACTTTAATTCAAACTTCAGGTACTTCTGTAATTGAAAAAGAATGCAATTTATAAAAGGGGACTTTGGAAACTTGATTTGCAATTAGCATTCATTTACACCATTCACTATCACAAAGGTCCCCATATACCAATAGAAGTTATTGTAATATTGATGTCTTAAATCACTTAGTATTAGTATAATTGCAAGAACCAAAGAAATCTAACTGAGAATTGGAATGGTGCAAATCAATGCTCTACACATAAAAAATTAAGAAAACCTCTTTATAATCCTTTTAATTAAAGGAGGAATAATTATGTACAATGTGTCTATATATCGTACTCACAATTGCTAAATGCCATTCAAAGTCCTTAATTATGTACAAATTATTCTGTTTGCTAATGCAATTAAGGGAAGTAACTCTTATATTATCAACCTCACCATAACATTTGATCTTTACTCTCTAAAACATAACTGCTATTTCTATAACTATCAAAGCTGTTTTCTTAAACTCAGCTGATATTTTACATTGATATTCTGATATTTATTAATTTGTTGCAATGTTCTTAACTTTTGTGTCAAACTGACATAACGCATTCCATCAGTCTTAAGTGTGTTTTGTTATGACAGCTTTTTTGCTCACATGATTTATTATGCTCAGAGATCTGGTATGTCTCAGCTTTTATGCAGAATCTTTTTCTCTTCAAGAAAGGTAAAAGATTTTAATTTCTCTAAAAGGTAAAAGATTTTAATTTCTCTAAAAGGTAAAAGTTTTTAATTTCTCTAAAAGGTAAAAGATTTTAATTTCTCTAAAAGGTAAAAGATTTTAATTTCTCTAAAAGGTGAAAGATCTTAATTTCTCTAAATGGAAATTGTTCGTGATTTTCTCTAAATGGAAAAGATCTTGATTTCATTACATGGAAATTGTTCTTCATTTCTCCGCAAGCAAAATAGTTATTGGTTTCTTGAAATGGAATAGTTCTAGATTACACTGAATTGAAATACATGTAATTCTTGATATCTTTAGATAGAAATAGATCTAGTAATTTCATATTTTTCTATATTTTTAAGCTTTTCACAATATTATTTTTTACCTTAGGGTTATGATTATGTAAATATGGGTGTACCCTTATAGAATACTTATAATACAATAAAACCTCCAATTCTATTTATCTATAAGTTCCACAAGGGAAAGAGAAATCTAGACAGTTTTCAAACATTTTTTTACAGACTCGCTAAAGAATCACTGTTTGGTTTGGGTTTTGTTTAAAGGGGTATGAAGAAAAGTTCAAAAAGACTCGGAACGAAAACAATGTTGACAAATTAATTATTGATTGATTGGTTTAGCTAAAAAATTCCCATTTCCGAGATTAAAGTATGATTCGTCAATAAATTGGTGCATCTGTCCCTTTAATTTTATTGTTTTGAGGAATTTTTTAACTTTCTAAAGATTCTAGAATTTAGATATGATATTTTTGATTGATGTTTATGGTACTTAATGTTTTATTGTTGTTAACTATATTTTTGTTGTTTGTTGTATTGATTCCATATTAAATCTGGTCTATAGCTCTATCACAAGTGCTTGATTTTAGTGCTAATATATAACTAAGAAAACCTTATATGTTAATATAGATCTGATAACACTATAAACTAAATGAAGTCTTAAAGGGACATGATTCGCCATTTTTGAGGGGGTGATTTAGTCTTCAATATATGTAAATAGTCTTCAGAAATACTGGAAATGTACAAATATCGCATAATTCCTAAATATCTCAAACAAAGATTTATTTTCCTATTTCTATAGATGCCTTTTCTATATATGGCAGTGTCTTAAGATAATTCTGGACACACATGGATTTAAAGGCTCAAATTTCAACAGTGAGCTGTGAACAGTATTACTGATTGGCTTAGGTAAAAAATTCCCCTTTCTGAGACTAAAGTATGATTAGTCAAAAAATGGCGTATACTGTCACTTTAAAGGTATTTTTTGTATAATTTCTGCAATACATATCATATTTAAAATTGTAAGTCAGATATGTAGCTCTTTTACAATTAAAATAGAATTGTAATTGCAGCAGTAATTATTTTCCAGGTTATTTTTCCCCAAAACTTAGTCAATTGTTAAAAACTTGTAAACATATTATTTTACCCTTTTACTAAATTGATTATGAATTGATGAAATGATCTGTTTAATGGGATAACTTATATTCTAACTAAATATTCTGCGGAAAAAAATGATCTATAGAAAAAGAACATTCATAAGAAATTCATCACTGAAAGTGGAATTATAGTGATTTATGATTTGATCTATGCAATTCATTGCTATGACATTAATTGGACTGTATTTCCTTGTGCTTACACTGTAAAATAATTGCAAAATTTTCATTATTATTTATGTATTTCATAATACATGATTAGAGATGTAATTAATTCAAATATTTTAATTGTGTTTTTTGGTGGTTGTAATTTAATTTTGATCCTCCAATACCATTGTACTATACTCTCTTGTCATCTCCATTTAATATTATATTATGATCTGTTAATTGTTTTAGTTTATGCTATTTAATGCAATAAAAATTGAATTAAATCTGACTTTTTAAAATTGTAAAAAAAAAATAGGTGAATAAAAAACTAGGATATTTTCATTTCTCATAGCCGTCAATGGCAAGGTTGATCCTTGTTTCAACCCTAGTGACAAAATTCAATTGCCTAAAGCTATTGCAAACTGCTTCTAATAGCCACCTTTCTTGATTAAAGAAGTTTGTAAATCAGAGTCTTTGACAGAAAGTCTGTAAACGATAAGCCATAGTGTTAGCAGTCTTTGTGTCTATATTTCTCTACAATCCAATTGAATCTCTTAAAAGCAGACGGATTAAATTGTTTCATTATTCGCTCCCTTTACTTCTTTCACATTCTGAACTAGAAATTTTAGCAGGAAACCGTGTTATAAAAGCGGTAGAGGCGCTCTAAAGCAAAGTTTTACAACGAATAAAAAATTGAATTTTTCTTTGATATAGGCTACGCACCCTTTGAGATACGTCAATATTTTAATTAATAAGTTTTCTATTAGAGTTTCTGTCAATTGAATCGTTTTCCAAGACAATGTCAACGGGGTGCTAATTATTGCAATATTTCAAGACAAAACATAAATTGATCATTTAACAGACATGAATTGTGGAATATTTCCAGGATAATTCTATTGTCTTAACATTGGCATCTTATTGGATTTCACGTCAATTAAAGCTAAAAATTAATCAAAGGTAACAATTAACAATCTATTGTTTTTCTGTTTGTATTGTTTTCTGTGTAGAAATTAAACCAGATACAGTTTGATTCGTGGTTGGAAAGGAATTATTAAAAAAAAATATGTTAAGCCAAGCTCACACTGAACGATTTTCAACACCATCAATATCTTGTTGGACATTTGTTATTGTGAAGCTGGGACATATTTTACGCTGAATTTTCGAATTTTCCAGATCTACAGGGATTCAGTTGTAACTTTAAGACACCAGGTCATATACTGATGAATACTTACTCATATTGACCATTCTTGGGAACTTAAATTTTCATTCTAAGACGTGGTGTCACTTTAAGGAATTCGAATAGCATAAGTGACGAAACGATTGGGCCTAATTAGTGAGCCAAGAGACGACTTTAGTAAGTGCAAAATATGATCCACCACCCATTGTGAAACAAAGTTGTACTAAGTACGACAGACAAATTATCACTATTAAATTAATGTAGTTGCTTCCCTTGAATTGCCGAAATAGCCCAATAAATTGCATTTCAGTCAGACGTATCAGGAATTGAACTCTTTTACCTTTAGTTTCACATGTAGCATTTCTAATCGGATAACACATGACTTCGGATACTTATGGAACCTCGGTTTTTGGTAAAGTGTAGTTCTTTGATAGGTGGGTGTGCGAAATAGCTATGGAATCGAAATCGCGCTGGAAATCACAAGGTATGCTCATCCCTCTTGTGCACATGGCATAAATGCATTGGGTCAGACTATCGTTTCGGGTTAGTATGGTGTTTTTAATCTTATGGCGTTTATGAATTAAGTTATAGTCCACCGAAGAGAGATCTACCAATCAGAACCCAGCTGGTGACTAACTTTTATCTCCAAATGAAAGGAAACCTCGTTCGAAAGTTTTGATAATATCATGATACAACAAACATATTGTTTTCGTATTAATAGACCTAAAAATTCATTAGTCAACAGATTTTCGGTAACCAAAATTGATAATGCAATCGGTAGGTTTTTTGTGTGAGTGGGCTATAAATTCTGAAAATTACAATATTAGTAATTCCGGGTTATGTCCCTTTAACCATAATCTCCTGTTTTTTATTTTTATTATTTTTTTTTAAATGAAAAGGTTTCAAACATTCTAAAGATAGGCGTCTAATTGGTTTACACATGAATATCATTTACAAAGCAAAATGAGATGATAGCGGATTAGTGTGGGATTTAGACCTAATTTCTACCAGCTGTCAAATATATCTAGAACTAACTCCCTTCATTAGATGTTCTAATTTCGTAGTGTGAAAAACGGGAAATAGAGGATTAGCAGAAAGTTATATATGAAACAGTTTATTTTTGATGTTGAAAGAAATGAACATTTGTAAATGATTGAGAAATTGTTGGAGAACGAGTGTAGATGAATCCTACGATTAGATGGTTATTTAGTTTATATTTTATTATGCTGATGTACCGTTATATTTTTTTTAGCTGAAGCTGTATTGATAGATTTATCACACACAAAAAGTCCTACATAATATCAAGCAATACAGGCATGCTTGCATTATCATACCGACTTGCATCTTCAGAATGTCAAACTATACAGACTTATATACGTCTTACAAACGTCAGCGAATATGCAGCCACAATGCTATGTTCGC